TTCCTACCTCAATTAATGTCTTACTTGTGTCGACAAACCTCTTGCAAACCCATGAAAATAAACTAAATATAAAAATCGCTAAATCTTTTGTAAGTTGTCAAACCAGTGTCATTATAAACTAAAGATAAAAATCGCTAAATCTTTTGTAAGTTGTCAAACCAGTGTCATTATAAACTAAAGATAAAAATCGCTAAATCTTTTGTAAGTTGTCAAACCAGTGTCATTATAAACTAAAGATAAAAATCGCTAAATCTTTTGTAAGTTGTCAAACCAGTGTCATTATAAACTAAATATAAAATTCAACAAATGTTTTGTAAACCTATTAAATCATTATCATTATGAACTAAAGATAAGTGCTTTCAAATCTCGTGCAAACCCATCAAATCATAAACAAAAGCAAGGGTCACCAAAGCTATTGCGAACCAATCATATCATTATTATGAACTTAATTAAAAAACAAGAATAATAGTTGAGTCTAGTCCCGTGAGTGGACAAATGTTCGAAACGTCACTTCCCATGCTGTTGTTGAACTTTACCCAAACCTACACGAGGGCTATCTGCACTAGCAGTCCCTAATTTTGAAGTGAAAAACTAAAGGGAAGGCGGCTAGTCAACACCACCCACCGCTAACTCGTGAACTACTGTAATCGAATACTAGGATTTGGCTGTCACTCCTATAACGCACCGGCGCTCCAAAATGCTGAGTGCGAATTTCTTTCGTTTTTTTTTCTGTTGTTGTTGTTTTTTTGTTGTTTTTTTTTCGAGTAACGGGTTGCGAGCCTCGAATCCGTAGTCCCACGCGTTCGGCCCGACCTCTCATGAAAAGTGCTTCTAGGCAATTAGTAGTTATATAGTTTATCCTTTTCTGTATCTAAACATTTATATTTATCTTAATATACATGTATCATTACGCTCGCATTAACTACTTCACAACACAGAAACAGAACAACTAGCGTTGATTGTATTCATTGTTGACCTGTATCATGTTTGAAACTGTTTTTCTAATGTTGTACGAACAATCTAAAATCTGTATTAAAACGTAATGTTCTGGAATCGTCTAGATCTATGTTACTGGCAATGTGAATAGCATGTTCACATACTTCGAAACTTAATGAAACGTGAAATTCGTTGAAATAGAAGAGAGTAAGGATCAGTACAATTGTGATACATATTATTGGAACACAACATTACACAAAATTATACATACTTTCGTTCCTGTGCGATTTTCCGTCAAGCTCTGTCGGTGCATAAAGTTATTTGTCGAGCGCATGAATTTATTCGGAACATTCCGGGTTACTTTTTTCACATTACCGGTTTTTACCATCAACTCGTCTGGTCCGTAATTATTTTGTGAATTTCAATACAGGATTTTTTTAACTTCAGGATAATAACAAACATTTTATTGTCAGTCATTAAGCAAATAGTAAAATACTTGGCGTGTTTTAAAACACACGATTTTGGTTTTAAAGAAACGACAATGTAAAGACAGATAAATGTGTAGTGTTATTCGTCGTATATAATCCGGTAGTTCGTGTTATATATTTTATCTATATATTCTGAGATGTTGTTGTTGTTTCTGTTGGAATGGATGCATGACAGGAACAAAGCATCTAACAGATTGAATGTTGATGCTGGCAACACCATTGATTTATAGTTAAAATATTCTATTATTCTGATAGAATAACACAAGTGCAATCACAGTTGTCACAGTAGGGTGACATGAAGTGTGGTATGTAACAGCTGTCGTTATGAAGTGTGGTATGTAATAGCTGTCGTTATGAAGTGTGGTATCAGCTATTACATACCACACTTCATAACGACAGCTATTACATACCACACTTCATAACGACAGCTATTACATACCATACTTCATAACGAAAGTTATTATTCGTTATGAAGTGTGGTATGTAATAGCTGTCGTTATGAAGTGTGGTATGTAGTAGCTGTCTTTATGAAGTGTGGTATGTAATAGCTGTCGTTATGAAGTGTGGTATGTAATAGCTGTCGTTATGAAGTGTGGTATGTAATAGCTGTCGTTATGAAGTGTGGTATATAATAACTGTCGTTGTAAAGTATGGTATGTAACAGCTGTCGTTGTAAAGTATGGTATATAACAGCTGTCGTTATGAAGTATGGTATGTAATAACTGTCGTTATGAAGTGTGGTATATAATAACTGTCGTTATGAAGTGTGGTATATAATAACTGTCGTTATGAAGTGTGGTATATAATAACTGTCGTTATGAAGTGTGGTATATAACAGCTGTCGTTGTAAAGTATGGTATGTAACAGCTGTCGTTGTAAAGTATGGTATGTAATAGCTGCCCTTATGAAGTGTGGTATGTAATAGCTGTCGTTATGAAGTGTGGTATGTAATAGCTGTCGTTATGAAGTATGGTATGTAATAGCTGCCCTTATGAAGTGTGGTATGTAATAGCTGTCCTTATGAAGTGTGGTATGTAATAGCTGTCGTTATGAAGTGTGGTATATAATAGATGTCGTTGTAAAGTATGATATGTAACAGCTGTCGTTATGAAGTGTGGTATGTAATAGTTGTCGTTGTAAAGTATGGTATGTAATAGCTGTCGTTATGAATCCCAATATCGATTGTTGTTTAACAACACAACTATGGACAAATCTGAATCTATATAGTTGGATACACTACTTATATTTTGTATTTGTTCTGCCTCTGAGTCTTTTTACCCAACCTACAATGTTAATATTGTTTGCTTATCTTCCCGCTAGTTTTCTAATCATGGAGTAATATGCGGCCATACTTAAAACGATATCTTGTTTAATCCAAAATTAAAAGCACTCTGAACAGTATTTTTAATCCTTAGTAAATTTAAATGGACCTTTGAAATTCTTTATTCACACAATGTTTGTAATTAAGCACAAAGCTACACAATTGGCTAGCTGTGCTCTGCTCACCACGGGTATCGAAACCCGGTTTCTAGCGTTGCAAGTCCGCAGACATACCATTGTGCCACTGCTTTTGCTTTTGATTTATTTTAGCCTGTTAGGAACTGTTTATATTAACGTCTAAGAATATAACGAGATTACAACAGTCTTGTACAAGGAACAAGCTCCTCCTAATGTATCAGTCCTAGGTTAACTGATGTTGTTTCAATAGCTTTGAGAGAAAAGATTGAGAACAAAATAGTTTTCATAAATCTGTATTCTAAATTAAACTCTGACGAAACTATTAAGATTGAGTACAATATAATATATAACATGGATTCTACACTCTCTAACCTTCCTTTTATGTTTACTTCATGACAGATATATGAAGACGCACAGTAGTGTTGTTGGCGGCGAAAACAACCTGCAGGACACACTGCGTGTTATTAACAGGAATGAATTTTTCACTTTCTGTAGATCGGACTGTGATAATACAAAGTATTACATAGTTTCAGTAGATGTGCTCTACTGGACCATTACTTTACGGTAAATATTCATTCATTAGTTAGTCAGGCCGCGTTTTTTGTTCAGCTTGGGGCATGATGGTGGGTAAAACAGAATACGTGGCCTAGCTAACTAATGAATGAATATTTGCTGTACAATTATTATCAATGCTATAACTGTAGCTACCAGTTTGGCCGCCTATTTTGATTTCATTCCTTTAAGTCGCAGTCTCTATCCTTTCTTGGCCGCACCATTTTTCCACACCTAAGGGGTTTTTGATTAGGTGTGCAAGCCCACACACCAATTACAGACCCCAATTGTTGGTTTTTACCGTTTGTTAATGTAGTCAAGCGCTGTGCTTATAGTTTTTCACCGTTCATAGAAGTTATTTTTTTCCTCATACAGTTCAAAAACTGACCATAATGAAGTCAAATTTATATATTATATACCAAAACCAATGGACTAAACACATGTAAATGAAAAGGTTAATTAGAAATATAAACATGCACACATGAGGTGCAGAAAAACGTAGAGACTTAAACATTAATTGTTGGTTAGAGAAAGTGGATGATAAACGAATACATAGTTAGGCGTACACACACGAATGGTTGTAAAAGGATACACATTTGGATACATAAGTATTTATGAAAGATAAAAGCAGACATATTTACGAAAGGTACTGGTATAGTCACGAATACATACGAAAGGGGAAGGCGTAGATCACAGGATACGAACAAAATATTATGCTGTATTTTAATGTTCAAATCTACGTGTATTTTATTTTTTAGTAACAAGTCAGATGCATATATAAATAAAGAAATATAAGCAGAAATTATTCACGGACAGACACAAAGTTTAGAACAATAGAACGTAAAATCTCTAGGTAAATCCTTCAACGAATCGTGACTATAACTGTTTATTGTAAGCTCGGCATGGCCAGGTGATTAGGGCGCTCGACTCGCAATCTGTGGGTCGCGGGTTCGAATCTCCGTCACACCAAACATGCTCGCCCTTTCAGCCGTGGGGGCGTTATAATGTGACGGTCAATCCCACTATTCGTTGGTGAAAGAGTAGCCCAATGGTTGGCGTGTAGCTTTGCGCGAAATTCAAAACAAACAAACAAACAAACTCATTTATATTAATTCCTACGAACTGCGAATATTTCCATACTTCTTCCAAACCGTTTGTTTGTTTGTTATGGATTTCGCGCAAACCTACACGAGGGTTATCTGCGTTAGCCGTCCCTAATTTAGCAGTGTAAGACTAGAGGGAAGGCAGCTAGTCATCACCACCCACCGCCAACCTTTGGGCTACTCTTTTACCAACGAATAGTGGGATTGACCATCACATCATAACGCGCCCACGGCTGAAAGGGCGAGCATGTTTAGTGGGACGAGGATTCGAACCCACGACGCTCAGATTGCGAGTCGAGCCCTAACCACTTGGCCATGCCGGATCTTCTCCAAACAGAGGAGGTAAATGCTTAAATCTTTATTGTTTAGAAAAATGGTAACCTAAATACGTTTCATTAAAATTTAAAACGTTTTCCAACTTGTTTTAATAATTTTTAAATAACACCCAACAAAGTTTACTTACCTAGTGATGGGAATTTGGAAATACTCTTTCCTGAGTTTTCATGCTCCTATCTCTCTTTTGTCAAGAAATCAGGGCATCTTCCTCCTTTTTTTTTTTAAAGAAAAAAAATCCTCATAAACTAGAACTTCTTAAGAACAAACTTCATTGCCATCATGTGAGTAGGTCGTCTAACTGTCTTTGTTCCAATTTATACGAATATTCTGCTTAAACACCATATAAGAACCCGGAAAGATATGAAAGCCAATCTGAATCAACAAACATCAGTTTATAGAAATCATTCCAGATGAACGCTTCTGGTGGAATGCCAGTGGGAAACTCTAGTTACGTGCTTCAAATTGTTGAAGTTGTTGTCAGGAAATATTTTAGTTCGTTTTTAGTTCAACAGTTACGGTGCTAATTGATCATAATCACCCTTGTTGCAGTCAGACTGCCTCTGTATCTGTAGAAGGAAATCATATTAGTTCATCCTTATCAAAGATATATATAGAGATAAAAGTAGAGTTTTGATTTACACATCATCACGTAACAAGTAAGTTGTGTCAAAAAACACTGAAGAAAAGTTGTTAACAAATCTGAAAAGACAATTATACGTGGATATTGTTTCAGATCAGTGAAAATCTCCTTGGCTCGGAGATGTGAACAAGACGCAAGTTCTGGGAAACATATGAATGTATCTATGCACTGTTCTTTAAAAAGTGAATCACTGGAAATAAAATAGCAAGTCTTATTCAATTCTAATGATATCTTAATTTTTTCAGCTCTCAAATAAGTAGCCCCCCCCCCCCAGTATCACAGCGGTATGTTTACGGATTTACAACCCTAGAAACCAGGTTTCGATACCCGTGATGGGCAGAGCACAGATAGCCTATTGTGTAGCTTTGTACTTATCTTCAAACAAACAAACTCAAATAAGAAAAGCAAAGCATAGCGGCTCATAGAATGGCTCCGAGTTTGTTTTTTTTCAAGTACAAACTTTAAGCTCATAGCTCCGTCATCTCTTGGCCTATTTGAGATCTAATTACAGTTTTGGGCTCAGGAGGTCATACCCTTTCGATTAATGTATTTGAACACGTCCAGGGTCTCATAAATTAATATATTCTAATCATGCCTAAAAGAATTTCAATTTGAGGGTAGGCTAGTAGAAATCCTGATGAGTAATAAAATCGAATATACGTGCCCCCACGCTTGGTATTCATGGCGCATAAAAATATAGCTAATAAAAAGGGAAAAGAGGTCTCACAGATTAACTTACTCTAATGCTGCCAAAAATAATTAAGTACCGCGGCTATTGAAGATTCCCTCTTGTTATATCACTATATCTGAAGCTATATTGTTAGTCCTAATCTTAAGAACTCTTCTCGAGCAAAATCTATTTTACAATACTTAAAGGAATGCTGTTACATACCGTAGAAAAGAACAGACAAGCTGATAAATTAAACTCCAAAAAAAAACAGGCCTGGAACAATGATTATCCTAAACCGTATCAGGCTTTGAGATTATGAAACTGAACATGACAAAATATAGTACCTTTCTACATGGATGCATAAAAATATGTAACCATACATAAAAAAGAAAGATATACACTAAAAAGACCTAAATTTAGTTGTGAGTATACGTACCAAGGCTTCAATAATTTTTGTTATTTTTTCTCTTATGTATTTTGTTTTTAACAGCCTGTTATTAAGCTATTTAGAAGAAAAAAATGTTCGAGAATGTGTGTTCAGAAATGTGTGTAATTCATGGAACTTAGACAATAGCTCAATAAACACGAGACAATGATTAATAAATTAGATTTTAAAGATGTGAACAACAAACTAGGACCAGTTATTTTTTTTAAATGTCACGTTCCAGTGTGTAAGAACGCGTTACACGCAGCTTGTTTTAGATTTGTAGATTCATGGATAAATAAAACAAACGACAACAAGAAAGTTCTGTAAACACCACATTTTAGGGTATTGCGTACAGAACTGATAAAGATCCTGGCGATGTAGAATATAATGAATTAAGTTGAGCATAAACAAGTTAAGTAAGATATAAATGCTGCATTACTTTTTGATGTTCATTTCAGAGGTGAAGAAACTTTCCAGTCGCTGAACTATTTTTTCTCAGTTGAAAAGCTTCAGCAAAGTCATCCTAAAACACTGTTATTTTGCTTGCACTGTTAGTTTATTATTGTTAAAGGTTTTATTCCGGGTAATTGTACTTTTAAACCACGTGATTTCACGTGGGCCAGCGCGCGCATATTTTCATTAAGAAAATAACATGCTTCATGATAAGAGATAAGAAACATGAGCTTTAACTCCTAGTTACTTTATTTATCAATCCACTTATATCTTTATCTATCTGATTTAGCTTACTGCAAGTAACTAAGTAAATTTTTACTTCTGAATTTTAAAATGCTATTGCACCTATATCGCGCACCGACAGGACGCCATAACTGGAGGAAGGAGAGCATATGCTATGACTGGTGCTAAACTTCTGCAGCGTTTAAATCAAATCTAATGGCATTCAGAAAGCGCGAGTAATATTTCAAGTAAATTGTCCAAGATGTATTTTTTTTCTAACTAAGTAGAAACGTAAGTAGTTATATATAAATATAGTCCTGATTTCCCAGTGAAAGCGCTTACTTGAGTGTATTTTAACTATATTCTAGAATCTAGATATCTCTAGTTTTTATCTGATTGTTATTTGCCTACTAATGGAATGTTAGGGATTTCCCTAGTTTTCATCTGTTTCAGAATTCCTTCCAAAGTCGAGTTCTGTTATAACTGTAGTACATGATTACCAAGATGTCTTTAGGTTTTATTCAATAGAGATTTCCTTATAACTATCAGTGACATTCGATCTAAATTACCTAATAAAGTTGTTTTAAGATGCCTTCAGTTTTAAATTGATTTAGATTCTCCGATGACGTACTTCACGAACTGTCAATAGTTTTCTTGTACATTATCTGGAGTACTAAATGTAGCTATTCAAGAAATGTCAATAGTTTTCTATAGCTACATTTAGTACTCCAGATAATGTACTTCAAGAAATGTCAATAGTTTTCTACAGCTACATTTAGTACTCCAGATAATGTACTTCAAGAACATAAAGATGGCATGTGAAAGGAAATTGTCGTTGTTATTGTTGAATGCTCCATCTCAGTAGACCGGTTTTTCCAGAAGAACAGAGATACTGCAATGTCTGGAAAACTACGCTGGAGAATCATCGAATAAAGTATGTGAAGAAAGCATTCGTATTGATGAGTAAACTGGAATGGATGACAACTGCCTGTTGTAAAAAAGATACAAGTGTAGAGGACGACGTTTCGAAAGTCTTTCGTCTTGGATCTGAAGACAGAATATTTTCGTAACGTTCACCTCTACACTTGTGTGTTTTTTTACAACAGTCAGTTGTCGTCCATTCCAGTTTACTCATTATGAAGACTCTGCCTAAACAATCTATCAAAGTATTAACATTACTTGGACCCATATTCGAGTACAAATTTTGACATTTGACAAGATTTTCCAGAAAGCCATGTTAGTAACGTTAGGAGACAAGTTTCATTACTCAAGAAATTTTTCTATTTGACTATTTCTACATATGTTTGTCAAGTCAGACCTTGTGAAAAAGTACTTAAATAATTACCTAATGTACTAATTATAAATAGAAGATGGCACGCCATCACTAGCCCTAACCACGTGTAACAGCCAATGAGTGAGATTAGCGTTGTTCACAGTTGGATAAACTTTTTTCACGTAAAAAGTCTAACCGTGTAAAGACAACCTGTACTAACGTTTTATGAATATATCTGAATATAGATATATCTGTTTGCATGTTATGAAAGAGCTACAGCTTTAATATCTGGATTAATATCTAGGAATGAGCAGTGTAGCCGGCACTTCAAAGTGAGAGGGGGAGGGTGTACTATTAAAAAAAATGTGAATCTTTTCTTCAACACAAAGAAATTAAGTGACTTATTTTAGCCCGATTGAAACTTGCGAAGCGACAGTATTCCAATCTTAAGAGGGCTAACCAAAGATGAGTTTAGTTTACTTAACAATAATAAACTGTTTAGTTGTAAAAAAAAACGATCATCATCATAATCATTTCATGGCAGGTGTTAAGTTTTAGGAGAGAAGTACTGCTCAGAAATCAGTCGATCCATCATGGCAGGTGTTTAGGTTTAGGATAAAAAACACCTGCCATGATGGATCGACTGATTTCTGAGCATTCCTGCTTATCCTAAACCTAAACACCTGCCATGATGGATCGACTGATTTCTGAGCATTCCTGCTTATCCTAACCTAAACACCTGCCATGATGGATCGACTGATTTCTGAGCATTCCTGAGGTTGAGGATAAGCAGGAATGCTCAGAAATCAGTCGATCCATCATGGCAGACGTTTAGATTTAGGATAAGCAGGAGTGCTCAGAAATCAGTCGATCCATCATGGCAGGTGTTTAGGTTTAGGATAAGCAGGAATGCTCAGAAATCAGTCGATCCATCATGGCAGGTGTTTAGGTTTAGGATAAGCAGGAATGCTCAGAAATCAGTCGATCCATCTTCGCTCCGCTCTCTAATTGGTGGGGAGAAAATTAACTGGCTTGATTCTTGTTTCACCCGGAACTCTCCTCTGTGAAAGGAAGGAACAAGAGGAAAAAAGCCGGAGAATTCCAAATGCCGTCGTAGAAGGAGAGATGGCTTAAGTATTGTTGAACTTAACGTGTAGAAGGAGAGATGGCTTAAGTGTTGTTGAACTTAACTTTCGTTAGAAAATGAATAAATAAACTGAGAAATAAAAGGTAGAAAGTAAACAAAATAAGTGGACCAATGTTCTGTCGAAACATTAACAAAACACTTCATTATGCTTATAAATCGTTGTTTGCCAACCTATTAGCGTAATATGTTTCCTTACTCAAGTAATGATAGTTTTACCTAATTTACAATATCCGCGAAAAAGACAGAGGTAAAGTGATTAGATACCTTGGCATTAGCAGATTTTCTAGCGAACCATTAAAACAGTTTTTTTATGAAGGGTACAGCATTAAAGTTACCAAAATAGCGTAATAAAGCTACGTCATTAAAATAATGGGAAACAACA